TAAGCCTTTCAAAAAAAAAAAAAAAGTGCATAAGCACTATATTTCATTTCATATAGTGAAACGAGGAATAATATAAATTATTTGTTGTAGTTAAAAGGTACACTGATATAAACTTTGCACAATCATGTCTTCACTAATCTTAAAACCTTACCATTTTCTCCTTGGCAAAGAAAGATTTGTAATCTTGAAAAGAGATAATTAATCACCAAGTTGGACCAAAACAAATACAAATGCTTCTGCTTCTTTTACTTAAGAAGAAAATTGACTAAACCATAGAGGAAGTTAAATAAATTTGCCAGAGGTTCTTTAGGAGGTTTTTTATGATAAGCTCCCTTTTTTAAACCTTTTTATGTAGTCATTGCAGTGGAAATTTGTTGCTTTGGTGCAGGTTAAATCTTAAAAATCAGCAAAAGGAGTGCATATCAATTTCCACACGAAGGGTTCAATTCTCATTGCACTATGTAACTGATAAACATGCGTTTCATATACAGAACCCAAACTCTATTTTGAAGTATAGAAGATGCCATATAGCATATTGGTTTTTCATTTTCTTTACAAATGATAAGACATTTGAAGAAGCAGCAAATGAGGTGCTGTTGAATTATGGTTTTAAAAGCAATTGAGAACGTGTGCAACTAAACTTGACAGGTTAGCTAGAAAATCATCATCCCATTTTAGCCAAGAAAGAACATCTTTTTTTTTTTTTGCGTCTCACAAGATGAATCATGCCATATTCAGAAGCCTTTGCTTCTTACTTTTCTTGGCAACTTTCAGTTTCCAGGCAGGCAAAGTGGTTGGTTTCTTCGGACGATATTATCTCTACGTGCACAATGGCCTGCCTGACGATTCTACCCCGTTAACAATTCATTGCGCCTCAGGAAATAATGATATTGGATATCATAATCTTACTATTAATCAGGATTTGACATGGAGTTTTTACATGAATTTCTTTAGGAATACTTTATACTTCTGCCATTTTTGGCGGGGCACAAAATCTGCAATGTTTGATGTGTACAATGACACCTGGGCTTACTATTGTGGTCATTATCATCAATCTGACAAGTATTGCTATTGGCTAGTAAAAGAAGATGGTTTCTATTTTACGGGACAACAACATCACAACGTCCCTGGTCCTTTTGACAACCATCCAGCTATAGGCTGGAGCTGAATATATAATTTTTTTTAGTCTGGGAGCTAATAGCAATACTCCTGCAATTGTTAATGACATTCGCTTCACTTTCTGATCATGTTGTGGGCACGATCATAAGAGTAAATATGACTGCTACAGTATCATTTCCAGTAGAGAACAAGGCTCTACTGGCCTCCTCAAATTGTGAGCTTGCTGAGGTAGTTTTTATGCAATGCGAAGTAGAGAGAAGGGCCACTATAGGGCTAGAAGGTGTTTTTCCTGTTCAGTTTGTAGTTATAGCAAATTGGCAAGTTGGTAAAGGTGTTTTTCTGTTCAGTTAGATGTAAGTTTTTTTCCACTATATAGAGTTATGTTGCCTAACACAAACCTTTGGTTTCAATGACTCGGTAGCTACCAGACACCATTCTTGATCATGGAGATGTTCAAGTACATTAATGTTAAAAGTAGTCTCTTGCTGATGGATTTTTTGTGATTGCATTTCCTGGGATATGCCTTTTGTAGTTTTGTATCTCATCTGGCTATCAATAAACTTCTTACCTATCCAAAAAGGAAAGAAGATGAAAATTAAAAAAAAAAAAAAAAGGCAATGCTTGTCACTGCAATTTTACGGAGTTCAAACTGCTGTTCTTTTGTCCTTGAACACAACCAATCAACATTTTTGTGTTACCATTCTTTTTTTTTATCCCTTAGGCATTTAATGTCAAAGGATCAATCCAGATATGCCAGCCTGAGCCTAAAGCATATGCTTTTTAAGGATATAGTTACAAGCTCCTAAAGAGTGCAAGAAATCAAAAAGAATAGACAAACACATAATAAGGATAGAAGTAAAAGCTCCTAAAGCTTTACACCACATTTGAAACAAGACAGACACGTGCATAGATTAATCTACAAAGAACACACTCAAGAACAAAACAGACTAATAGAAAAAACAAGGAAAAAGAGCAAACTATAATTAGAATTTCAAGATTCTATCACAACCTGTAAAACATGTAGAATTGCGACTAGATAACAGCATAATAGGGGCCTGTGCCGTCTTCCTTGTCGGGATCAGGCATACTGGAATAACGACACAGGCTGTTACTCATTTCCCAGCTCCAGTCCTGCTTCCTTGCAATATACATCCGTGGCCAATGATTTACCCTCACATAATGTTCTCTCATGTTCCTGTCAGCCTGCAATCCAGTGACTATAGAATAACATGCCTGGTGACCACCCCATACCTCGTCACCTGGGTCTGCAGTTTGGCTTCCATCTTGATGGAAATAACGGCGCATGGACTTTCCTGTCCCTTTCCAATAAGGATCAAGGTCCCGCCAGTATTCTGGAGCGGCTTGAATACAGAAACCATATAGTTTTAATTGATCAGTAGATTAATATTATGAGGTGGTAGGTATATTGCATATTATAACTTTTAGAAATAAGAGAGAATCACAGCATCATATGTAACAGCAAGCAATTAGTGCTGTTATTCGAATCGGGCAGCTCGCGAGCCGGGCTCGACCCGGCTCGTTAAGGCTCGAACTCGGCTCGTTTATTCTAATAAACAAGCCGAGTTCGAGCCTAAAGACTGCTCGTTAATTAAACGAGCCGAGCTGAGCTCGGCTCGCGGGCTACCCGAAAGGCTCAAATTTGAGGGATAAAAATGTCAATTCATTAATTATGGCTATTTCAGTAAAATACTTTCATCTATTTCCAGAGTCAAACTCCCGAATCCCTAATCCTTCATTCGCTCATTCTTCTTCCGCCTTCACCTCTGGGCTTTTGCCTTCTCTTCGGCTCTGCTCTCTTCCGTCCAGACTTTGGCCCGTCAGGCGTCAACCCTAAATCACCAATTCACCCTTCGGTAATAGCTCTAGCAGGGAGCATCAGCAATCGCTCTTCAGAGGAGTTGACTTGTCGCACCAGCCCACTGCCTTGGTTGCGCAAACACCAGCCGCCACCTGGTGAACCCGTGTATTTTTCTGTACTTGATTTCCGATTTTGGAGTTACGTACATATAGAGCTGAGATCCAAAAAAAAAAATTAAGGTGCATTATCTTCTTCTATTTGGTAATTAGGATTTAGGGATTTTGGTATTTTGCTAAAATATTGTGCTTTTGAGGCGTTATTGGGATGTGGGTTTTGTCTGATACTCTCTATATTCGTGTGGAAGCTGACAAATGATGCAATGGGCTTCTGCGCGGACTTTTTAGATTGTGGAGACAGGTAGTATTTTGAAGATTTGACAAAACCTTTCCATGGAGGGGCTGCTAAAGAAACCAAAAAGAAACTTTGAAAATGACATGAAAAAAAATATGCTGCCTATAGATAGTGGATGTTGACTAGTTTATGTTTGACTGGTTGAATCTTTTAAAAAATTTTGTCCATTACAATACATTAGTTTCTTTGTTAATCAGTTTATCCAATTTTTCATAAACTCTTATTTCTACCACATGACCAACTAGATGAATTGATTGCTTAATCAGTTTATGTAGATTGCTTGGTGTCAAATGGATTTGGCCTTCAATATGAGCAGTAATTATTTTCTCATATTGTAATAGATAATTGAAATTATTGGAATTTTTTTATTTATAATGAAATTTGACATGCAACCTTTGATTTATAATTATGCCTTAAATTTTTTTCTTAATATATAGGTATGTACAGCCCTCTTAATTCCCACCAAGGTTCATCTTCAAGTCCTGCTATGGAGCAATTAAATGAAGTAGTAGATCAAGAACTGGATATTGAAGAAAATCCGGATGAGATGACTGAAGATGAGTTAGAAATAATAGAAGAACATGACAATGAAGGAGGAGGAGTAGGAGAGCAAAAAGGTGATGGCGAAAATGAAGAACCAGCAATGCCCTTTGAGAAAAAGCAAAGGAAAAAGAAATCAACGGTGTGGGATGATATGAAAATTGTGAAGTTAGACAATGGAATAGAAAAGGTGCAATGCAATCATTGTAAGAAGTTATTTGCCAAGAGTACAACTGGAGCTACATCTCAACACAAGCATCATCTAAATGCATGTTTACAAAAGAAGATGGCAATGGGAGAGCAAAATAGGATGAAACAGCAAGTGTTGTCTTTTACCGAAGGGCCATCCGATGGAATTACTTCGATCACAAATTTTTCATATGACCATGCCAAGGTACGGGAGCTTGCTTCTCATATGGTGCTTGCACATGAATACGTATTTTCTATGATGGATCATGTTGTATTCAATAAATTTATGAAAGCTGTGTCCCCATTTTATAAAAAGATTACCCGGCAAACTGTCAAAGAGGATTGCATTTCTACTTATCAACTTGAAAAAAGAAAGCTGAAATCTATATTAAAGAGTGCTAGTCGAGTTAGCATAACTACAGATTTATGGAAATCTGGTCAAAAAATTCAATATATGGTTGTAACAGGGCATTTTGTTGATTCTGATTGGGCGTTACAAAAACGTGTGTTGAATTTTTGTAATGTGCCATCTCCTCATACGGGAGTAATTATTGCTGATGCTTTGAGTAAATGTTTTATTGATTGGGGGATCGAGAATAAAATTTCCAGCATCACAGTAGACAATGCTTCTTATAACGATGCTTGTGTTAGGAGATTTAGGGAGGATTTTTCTCTAAGAAAGAGGTTAAGTATTACTGGAAAAATTTTTCATGTGAGGTGTTGTGCACATATACTTAATCTTTTAGTACAAGATGGCCTCAATCAACTAGGTGATGTGATTGATACTGTTAGAAAGGGGATCAAATACTTGAACAACTCTGAGGGTCGCCTAAATCAATTTGCCAAAATTGCGAAACAGCTACAGTTGCCCTCTAGGAAATTGATTCTAGATTGTCCAACTAGATAGAATAGCACATATCTCATGTTGGCTTCGGCTTTAGACTTCAAGGACGTTTTCCCAAGATACGAGGACATTGACCCTGGGGTTCACTATGTTCCAACTAATTACGAGTGGTTGCAAGTAGAAGAAGTGTGCCGATTTTTGGGTATTTTTCATGAGATCACTGACATGATTTCTGGATCCGACTATCCAACTTCTAACATCTTTCTTGTGGAGCTTTATAGGATTAAAGAGCTTTTAAATGAAAAAGCTCTTGATATTTCTGATCAAATTTGGGCCATGGCTTTGAGCATGTCAGCAAAATTTGACAAATATTGGGGAGAAACCAATGTGTTGCTTTCGTTAGGTGCTATTGTTGATCCAAGGTACAAAATGGTACTCATTTATCATGCTTTTCCGATTATTTATGGTGAGAAAGAAGCTGCTGTGAAAATTGATGAAATTAAACAGCTTCTTTATGAGTTTTACAATGAATATGTTGATACTCACTTCTCCTCCCATGCCGGGGAACCACCGAGGCAGTCGGTAAAACGTAAACATAAGGAAGTGAGTAGTTCTTCGATTCAATCTCAGGGGAATGTTAAGAAACTTGGACTTCCAATTCTTACTGGCAAGGAAAAATTTCAAATGCATGTTAGTGAAATTGACAAGGCGCCAGCTGAAAAATCAGATTTAGATATTTATTTAGAAGAAGGTAGGTATGCTTGTGACGCATCTGCTAATCTGGATGTCTTGGGGTGGTGGAAAGGAGAAAGATGGAGGTTTCCAATATTGTCAAGGATGGCCAGTGACTTACTTTCTATTCCAGTTACAACTGTGGCTTCTGAATCTACCTTCAGTGCTGGGGGAAGAGTAATTGATGATCGGCGAGCTTCTATGTCTGTTGAGACAGTGCAAATGCTACTTTGCGGTAGTGATTGGATTCGCAATCTTCATGGAATAAAAACCAAATCTCGTGTAAGTGTATTACACTTTCTAGTAGTAATATGTGGTTAATTGATTATTTTACTTCATCTTTTATCTCTATAGCTCTTATTTTTAGAGAATATCATGACTTTGAGTCTTTGACATTTTTATTTTGTATGATCAATCTGATATTGCCGAGTCATCTACGTATCATGAAGTTGAGCTTCCTCAAAATTGAAAGAATGCTAAATTTTAGAAATTGCTGCTGCTGTCCTTTGGTATTCTACTTCATTTTTTTAGCTCAGTAGCTCTTATTTTTAGAAAATATCATGACTTTTACATTTTTATTCTGTATGATCAATCGGATGTTGTCGAGACATTTTACGTGTCATGAAGTTGAGCTTCCTCAAAATGAAGGCTAAATTTTAGAAATTGCTACTGCTGTTGCTCTGTAGCTCTTATTGTTTGCTGTCTTTTAGACTTGATTATTGCTTTGATGTTTGTTGTAAGTGAACAAAATATGAGTACTTGACTACTTGTGAATTCTCATCAGCAACCATGGCTGAGGTACTATGAATGCCAAAGTGAATTCTCATCAATTTAGAGGAGTAATTTTCACATTTCTAAGTTGCTGGACATTCATACCAAGTCAAACATGGCTCTTTTGACTGTTGGACTGATAGAAAATTTTACATATGCTCTCTTTTGGTGGGACTGCTTGATCTTTTCTCTTTTGCTAAATTGGATTAAATCCATAATCCCCACTCAGCAACAAATATGTATGCCAAATTTGCATCTTCTGAATGGTTACAGACTTACAGTGAACAGATGGCTGCTATGGTAAATATTTTGAGCTTGAGCTCGAGCTTAACGAGCTCGACTCGATTGTGTTAAACGAGTCGAGCTCGAGCTAAATATAGAGCTAACGAGTTCAAACTCGAGCTAATTATTCGACTTGACAATGTTATCAAGCGAACTCGAGCCAGCTCAAAATTCGTACAAATCGAGCTCGAACCACTACTACTCGGGTTCGGCTCGACTCGAATAACAGCTCTACAAGCAATGGGGACAATGGGAAAAGGGAGAAAGCAAATTTTTTTCCACCTTCTTATGTTTGAAAAATCAAAACTTTACTCCCATGAAAGTTTCAGCCTAAAAGAGAAGTTTAAGCATATAAAAAAATCATCCTAGTGCCAAGATCCAAAAGTACAAGTGCAAGTGAAGTCTACAAGAAATCCAAGACATCCCAGAACATACATATCTCAGTGAAACTGAACTCCCAGATATGATTGCACAAGTTATCTCTCATTATCCGGGTCTGACATTAGCAACTATACATTAGCAGATGCATCAAACACAGAAGACATGATTATTCTCAGCACAGGTATCTATCAGACAAATTTATTTGCTGAAGATATATTTACCATGCACAAGAGAGAGAGAAATAGTAAAAGCAAACAGCAACAAGAGAAAGAAAGAAGAAGAAAAGGAGATAATAGTCATATTTTTGGTTACTTACACGTTTGCGATCCTAAGCGGACAATGAGTAAGCAGCTAACTTTGACAATCCCCGGAATTTTGATATGCGAGATATGTGAGCTTTACCATGCCATAACTCCTCACACTACATCAGAAAAGAAATTTCAGCTTATTTCATTGAAACCAAACCAACACCTATCTGTTTGATTCATTTCTTGTTATCAATTCATAGAACCAATGTTTTTTCTGCTGCAAATATAATACAAAAGCATAGATTTAGTTAAGAACATAGCAAACTACAACTAGTTGCAGATGAAACAATGAGCATTTTCAAGAAAAGTCGAATGTGATGAATAATGTGCACAACAATTTGGGCCACTTGTATTTATTCTGTAAATGAATTTCCTCAGATAGTTTCAGACAGGCTTCTTGATTACAAAAAGGAAACTATACAATGGAAGAGAAATCTTTACCAAATTTCGACAGAACTAGTTGTGCCGAATTTGCAACACATTCACTAAAAGCGGGGTTGTTTGGCTAATCTAGACATCATTAACCATTCCATCTAGTTCCCTACTTTCCCATTTACTTGTTATAAGCCTAAAAGAAAATGAGCATAACGGTGAAAATTCCCTAGAGACTTGCAGAATTCAAACAAGTAGAAGATACTAGTATACCAAATCATTGTGTACGCCAATGCATGCTCCCCCGTTCCCCTCCCTCCCTCCCCCGGGTTTTTGGGATTCACTGTCAGGAGTTTGAACTCTTACTATTGCAAGCAGACTGTCCATATGGCATCTTGCCTAGGAGGAAACAAGCATTAAGCCCATCGCTTGTCTACCTCAACTTTTTGATTTCTCTATCCAATCTTTCATTTTACCCAACTAGAGCTTAAACAAGTACATCAAATGGAAATTAATAGAGTATTAGATAGTCCTCAACAGTTTTTAATAGAATGTTTAGAAGCAAAACTTCTTGAACTAAAATTAGATGCGCTGCAGTGACATGTAGCCTTTCATGGGATGAATCAGGCTATATATCATCACAAATTACTGCCTGCAGTGCAAAACTAACAACCTAATATAGCTCTTATCGCATTTTTAATCATATGTACTAGCCGTTAACTACACTATTGCTTCACCTACTCCCTTGGGCTTAGTTGTATAGCTCTACTAAAGAACCCCGACCACGAATAAGGAGAATTACATACCCTCCAAATTATGTCACAACCTCCATCTCCACCCCTCTAAAGACGCCAAAAAAGATTAATAACATCTTTCAATTCTTCCAAATTTATGTACAATTTTTACAATAGCTAGACTACTACATTTTAGAAACAATTAAAAACACCCATTTAAGGCTTTAACAATCAAAATTCCAATGAAAGTTCATTCCAAGAATACCAGCATCATTCTTAAGAATAATACAAAACAAACGCAAAATATTCAAAAAAAATTAAAATTAAAATCAAGCTTTAAGTGCATGATCCCTGCACTAAGCAAAAGCACCGTTGCAAAAACAATAATCTTTCATATTAGAACCAACCAACAGAAAAATCTTGTAAAATTTTAGTAAATATCAAAACTTTATCAAAGTTATTGCGTGACTCTTCACCAGAAAAAGATAACAAAAAGCTAAAAACAAAGAAAAATGAAACCTTGGGAGCCCAGAGTCTATCACTGCAAGCAACTCCATGCCATCTACAAGAGACAATGAGAGATAGTACCACACTGCGTGCGTCAAGGTAGCCGAATATCATATGCATGATATCATAGCCAAGTACAACCAAAGGGTCCTATTTCTTCACTGATTCAATTGGCAAATCATGACCCTTTTCAACCGTGAATTTATCTTCTTCTTCTTTATCCAATTTCTTTCTTCTTTTTCTCTTCTTCACTCTGTTTTCTACAATATCAATGGATCCACCATCACAGAGATTGTCCCCAATACAAGGAAATCTTGATGACCAATCTCCATTTTCTTCAGTTTTAGTCTTTTTCTGGTGATTTTTTATCAATATTTGGCCATCTTCCTCAGCCATTTTTGTGAAGGCCATTCAAGAGGAACAAAGGATGAAATCAAATGGTGGGAATTGGAAAGATATACACGAGTAGAGTGAGACAGTTGAACAGAGAACCGATTCATCAGCTGAAGATAAGAACAAGAAAAATGGGACTCGGGTGTACTTGGACATATTGTTGTGTGACCTCTAAATTTAGGTATATTTGTTTGATCAACCACCCCTACTGATTGAATCACCTCATTCGGATTAATATACTGATGAAGGTTAACTTTTGTTTGTATTACACTTACTTCACCTTGTCCAATTTGGAAGACGAGAAGAATCATGCATGCAGGCATAGGAAAAAGATATATTTTTACTAATTTGTATCTGTTTCTTTGTTAATTTGTATGTCGTCAAGATTTATAATGAGACAATTAGACTTGATAATTTAATTTTGGATTAATTAGTTTTGTTGAGTGATGTAAACATACAAATGAAAATGAAACTATAATTATTTATTCAATAAATTTATATTTTTTGCAGCGTATGAGTTTTTAAAAAAATCTAATAATACATTTTTTAGAGGGTACAAACTTAACCTTCAAATATTAAATAATTAAAGGAACAACACCACATTGATTTCTCAACTACAGAATCTCAAAAAATACATCTATTGATGCTATAACAATTTTGAAGTATATTATTAACATATTATCCTTTTCCATCAAGTTGTTTTTGTAAATGCTAGTAGGCAAGATATAGCGCTAGTGTAAATCTCATGCATCTCACTTATAACAATTCTTAGCTCTTTCAAGACTTAAAGAAAATAATAAAAGGAGAAAAATGAATTTTTGTGGGCATATAATTTTGGATGAGAAACAAAAAAAAACTAGCAAATCACTACATGCTTATGATCAAGTAAATTTCACAAGAATTTGTAACTTGGCTCATGTGTGTGTGTGTGTTTTTTTTTTATACTGAAAATGCATATTTAAGCGTGAAGCTCCAAAACAAAAAATCTATTGAATGTGATTCAATAATAATGGTCTGTGGAATTCTCAATAGCACAAGTTATAGACAAAATCCGTTTATCAAATACTCAAATCAAAGTAAGTGTAATGTAATTTAGTTACTTTATTAATCATTAATTATATGAACTTCCCTTAGTCAAGGAGACTAAAGTCCACTTTGGTATATTTTTTTAAAGTCTAGAGACAATTTAAAGTACTATTTCATATTTCGAAGTAGAAAAAATTATTTAATCTCTTCTAATGAGTTAGGTGGTACAAGAAGAGGAAAATATAAGTAAGAGATCCTGAGTTCAAGATTCCGCTTATACTAAAAAATAAAATAAATTAACTAGAAGTTAAGTTGAAGTATTTAAATAAATTATGTCATTAGTTACAACTTATCATATTTGAACGTGAATCCTATGGCTAATTCTGACATCAACCCAGCAATATACATTATGCTGGTTTGTTTTTCTCCAAAAAATAAAAGAATTACCATATCGATTAATCTAAACTTGAATGTGAATCTTATGGCTAATCTAGGTTCTAATTTGGCAACAAGAAAAAAGATTGGGGGAATATTAAAAACGATCTTATAACTCGAGGACTAGAAATGTTAATGTTTGTCGTTTAGCACTTAGCAGTAGTTCCCTCGGAACTGTCAACTCTGTGCACCGTTTGTGCCTCCGTGCACTGGTGGAGCAAAAGTTAGCCGACACGGGAAGCTTTTGCTGACGTGGTAAATGATTGCCGAAAGCGGACAACCTTTTTCACGAGAACCACCAATCATGTAATGCCACATGGATACAGAAAATGCTACGTGTCAGTACGATGTCTGAGGCTGCACGTGTGGATGAGGGATCTAAACCATGCACTTTTGCAGAATCCTTTTCTGGAGAAAAAAAAATTAATTTATTAAATACATCTGTTTTGTCGGTGGAACCAAGGGTAGGGAATGGATTTGGCCACATTTCAATTCAAAAATGTAGTTAATTTGTAACTTTTATAAAAGACCTTTATTTAATGTAATTTGTTATTAGTGAGTATGATCTACTTTATTCAATAATTGTTTTGATTCACGTTTTGAATAATAAAACTTTTCATGATATTGGTTTATAATTAATATAAATGTAGAGTGATTAGTGGTACTCATAATATTAATGTAAGGGTATTTTAGAAAAACAGATGACTATATTTACTATTTTAACAAAGTTAACTAATTTTTTTTAACTGCGTGAAACAAAAATCAAGACAATCAAAATGGGATGAAGGGGGTATTATTTTTTGGCTCGTAAGTTTACATATCGTTGCAAAAATACGATGGATGTTATATGTTATAGAATCTAATCTAGAAACCTAAATTACACTTAAATTATTATGTAATTGGACGCTCGTTGAGACACCTAAATCACACTTAAGTCACTATGTAAATAATACATACACTCACATTTGTTATATCCCTAAATTGTGATTTTTTTTCAAATTAACTAATTTTTTGAAAACCCTCTCAATGAGTGCCTAATGATATTGAATGCTTATTAGTAAAGAGTATGTTATATGACGAAAAATAAAATAAAATGTAGAGCTAAATTTGTGGATGAAAAGATAATTATAAATATTCCTTGAATGAGGGAAATATTGAGTTGGATATTAAAGTTATATCTGAAAGATGAATCAAACTAAAAAGAACTATTTGATACTCGAATCAAACTCAACTTGGTAAGATTTTGGTTCACCAACTAGTCAAACCAAGATTGAAAAGCATTTTATGTTCGATAACATTCAAATTTGATAAATGTTCGTTCAAATTCGATTCGGCAAATAAACATGTCAAATTTGAATAAAATTTCAAACTCGTTAAAATAATCAAATAAACTTGGACACTAGGGTATTTGGTTTGATTAGTCTCATTTACACCTCTGGGTAAGGGTGGGAAGGATTGTAAATAAAAGATATTATATTCAAAATCTTCTACTTATTGAAAAAAAAAGTCAGAAAGGAATACCTGTTCCTTGAATGTATACATGTTAATTTATGATATAGCATGAATGTGTATAAATTGTTACTTATGATGTCTGTTTTTTGGTTAAAAAGCAAAAGTTAGATACCGTATATTCTAACTGTCTTGAATTGGTACACAAAGTCAGCATATGAGAGAGTGTCTTAAATATATATATTAAATTTGAATATATGCATTTACATAATAAGTCAAGTATAATTAAGTATAATTTTTTTAGGGTCACCGGGCACTTGCTTGGATATATTTCACGTGTTATATTTTAAAAAATGTAAGATTAATTGGAGAAAGTAAATAAATATAAGAGAGGGTATATAAGATCAAATGGAAAAAATATATATATGCAAGAGAAGGTAATGATTGTTAGTACGTGTATATACATACATACATGATAGGTTAAGTGAATTTTAAATGTGTTAACGAATTCTTGAAAATGCTTTTTTAATTTTAGTATACTAACTACAACTATTAAAGAAATCCGTGCTTATATATGATATTTTAGTGTCTAATTTTCTTTTCCTAGTCCCAAAAAACAAAAATATCTTTTCCTGAGGTTACCTTCTATGGATCTACATGTAGCTTCCATTTATATTATTCCATCATTGCAACCCCAGAGGGAGCTAAATCATTTGGGACATAAGCTGCTTGGAATCGGATATGTATAAACCCAATAAATTTGTGAAGAAATGCATGAAAATTGAAAAGTTGAAACCCTCCTTAAAACCATTTAATTGGTTTAAAAGTTTACACCCATCTATGGACGAAAAGTTGAAACCCATTTAAACCGGTTTAGAGCTCCAACCTGATGGAAGCCAGCCCCGTATCTGTCACCTTCCAAACCTCACCAACCGAATCGATAATTTTACACGTGTCCTCTGAGCTTGCCTTCTAATGCGTCACAATCTTAGCTCACCGTAACCAACAGGTATGTTTAACACCCTCGAATCTAAGAGTACTAGTCTAGTACCTAAATCATAAGGGATAATTGCAGTTATCATCCTTTATGTTTACTGTATTTTGTTTTTCAGCTCACTTGTATTCGTTTAACGTTTTTAAGTTCATATATTTGTACTAATTGTAACTAAGGCCTTGTTTGAATTGCCATTTCTTTGGAGTTTTTACAGAAAAAATATACTGTAATAATTTAATGTATGTGAGGTAAGAGAATAATTGAAAAATATATTCACAAAAAATATAAAAATTTTCTGAGAAAAATGCCTTTCCAAACAGACTATAAGTTTTTCATTTTTAAACTCTAATGCATTTGATCTTTTTCAAAGAGTCTAAGATGACTTAGTAAGTTGTTTGTTGTCCTCCAACAATGATAGATAAATTAGCAAATATGCATATGAGCAAAATTTTAACTAATAGAGTTTATATTTAGAATGCCAAAACGAATGAGAGTTGAATAATAAATGTTTAAAATGAGTAAAGTTAATATTCTTCAATTTGAATTGTTTATGTGATGCATGTAAATTCGTTTTTTAAGAAATAACATGCATACAATTCATGCTATAATCATACCATAGTCAATTCATTATTATAGTACATAAGGGAAAAATAAAATAAAATCAAGACAAAATTTAAAAATTTTCATTTTTAAGAATACACATATGACAATTCAATTATTGCCTCCCATAGAATTTCCTCCTTATAATGCTCATGTCTAAAAAAATTTTTGTTGAACAAAAAACAACAAATGTTTTGGAATGAAACATTATGGACTAAAATGGAACTAGTATTGAACGTAAGGGACTAAAAGTGAAATTCATGACCAGCCACCAGGGACGGGAAAAAAAGCAAGCCGGAAAAAAAAGAAGAAATAAATGTACAAACATTACCGGAAAATTAAGAAATGGAGAGAGAACGGGAGATCTGCTCGAACAAATAAACCGAAAAAGGAAAAAGAAAAAGGAACTCTCTCTCTCCGATCAGATCGGATTCGAAAATTTCACGGTTGTTACCCTTTTGCCAGAATTCTGATTTCAAAATTTTGAAATCTTTGGGTGAAAATTCGACCGTTTTTCTGTTCAAAAGAACAATTTATTTTTCGGAATTTACTCGTACGTGAATGTATTTGTATATACACATTTGATTTGATCGTCGCGGTAATATTTGAAACTAGGGTTGCTCTCAAATTCAAGGTTTTTGATAGGGATATAGAAGGGGGAAGGTGGAAGTGGTAAGGGGAAGATTTTTGGAATTGAAGAATTTGAATGGCGTCGGCGCAGGTTATGAGAAAGCAAGACCATTTGGAAGCTGGAAAAAGAAAGGTGCCAAATTTGTTTAATTTCTTAGTTAAAATTTTTGGTTTTCCAATTGGGTTTGCTACTTGCTTGAAGTTACATTGTTTCTCTGGATATATTTTCTGGGATTATATTTGTTGGAAGGTGGATGATGGCTGATTCAATAATGGTAGTTTAAAGATTGTGGTAGCATTTTCAATTTGAATTTATTGATCTAGCTGCATACGTGCTTGTTTATCTTGTATTTTGGGAGATTATGGTTCTTTAGGTGTCTATATCATCTGTTGCAGCGTGTAACTGGTGCTCACAAATAGGAAGACTAAAGCCAATTAAACCTTGCATTGCGTATGTAGCCCATTAACTAAGATTTTTTTGTTCCAAATTTTAAAGTTTCGGAAAAAGTTCCATTCCTGCCGACACCATCCCACCTTTGCTTGGCTACTTCTTCCCTCCTCTTCTATGCTTCTAGATTTTAGCAAAAGTTGGAAAAAGAAATATACTAACATGGGTGCTCTAAAGAGTTTTTTTTGAATAATATCATACTAGTAACGAGAAAATTAGGCTGTTGAAAGAAGTATTTTTTGATACGGTCAAGATGGAGTTTTTTTGTTTTGAAGTCATAGCTTGTTTTGTTAGCTAAACAACCAGGTTTTCCACTTCATTTTGTCGGTCCTTGCTTGGTACTAGACCACAAGACAAGTCTTGGCACAGCTCCTTTATGTTGTGGGCATCAAGGGTGGTTGTGTGGAGTAACTTTCCTATCTAAGGGGAAGAGTTATAAAAAATAGAAACATATACTCAGGCAATAGTGGGTTTGTTGTTCAGTGGATTTGTTCTTGCTACTTGTTGTTCAGTGACCTGTGTGGTAAAGGTTAAGGAATATACTGGTTGGAATAGATATTTCCTATGCATTTCAAACTTTTTCAGATGTTGTCTAGCCCTTGTTAAATAGTTTATCATAGTAAATGACAAATTTAAAGGAATCTTGTTATATAGAAAAGTTGGATACAAACTGTGATGTTTTGATCACTCTGACTAGCTTATTTATTGCCTCACAGCTAGAGGAGTTCCGTAAAAAAAAAGCTGCTGAAAGGGCCAAAAAGACTACCTCTGTTACCCAAATTAACACCTCTGATGGGGGGTCCCATGAGAAGCAACTTTCGGATTCTGAACGTGTACGGCTTGTTGATTCTGATGTAGCTGGTACATCTGATGCAGTTGGAGCTGCTGTTTCAGAACCTTCTGGTGTAGTAATTAACAAAGATAGCAAAGAAACTGAGGCATCCCAGAAAAGTGGCTTTAGTTTTTCTCATTATGAAAGTGCAAACCTTCCTCCTTTAAATGAATTTGCAGTTAACACTTTCGGACCATTGCATTCTCGGTCATCAGACAAAGAATTTAGAGGTGATGACACTTCACAACTTAATGCGGATTATGACCCACAAAACAAAAAAGGAATTGATGGAGCCTTAGAAAGCACATCATCTGGAGTTGCAATAGATCAAACTTTTGCTCTTCTGCTGCCATCTGAGAACATTGACAGTACTTCAAGACCGTTTGGTTATGATGGGTTGTATGATACCTTGCCTAGTAACAGTGATAGTTACTTGAAAGATCTCTCAGTAACTAATTCTAAAAGGTCTCATTCTTTCACTGCAAATGGTTTTCCTGAGGATTCTGGAAATGTTTTTCTACCTGAAAACTCAGGTTATGGGAATCACGGATTTAGCAACCATATGTCCTCATCTTTTGGAGGTAATTCCATTGTTGTTTAATTGGTTTTGTGTCTATACATTCTTGTGATTTTATAACACATAATTGAAATCTCCATTGCTCTTGACTACCTAGAACTTTTCTTGTAAAATGGCTGCTTGTTTTCTCACATAGCTGTCTAAGGTTTTTTGTTTTTTCAATGGAAGTCTCCATGCAGTCCACAATGAGTAATAGTCACTACTTTTCTTTTGTAGTGGAGAAGATGGGCGCTTATGACTATAATAATTCCATGGTTTCTGATCTAGGAGAGAGCAAGTTTAATAGCAGCTCAGCTCAGTTGTCTGGTGCTAATAACTTATCTCCATGGACACTTGACTCTTACAATTCTAGTTTCAGCTCATCAAATTATAGGCAACAAACTCTATCCTCAGAAACTAATGTCAGGAGGTCTCGTCCATCTTTCCTTGATTCCATCAATATATCACGAGGTCCTTCTGCATCACCTCCTGTGTCTGGACCAAAGGTTGAGCTACTTGGTTCAAAAATACACCCAGAGGACACTTTAGGCTCGTATCCTGCACATATCTCAACACAATCTTCCGTTGCTTTGGGTAATGGGGCAGACATGTTCAAGCAAGTTATGGACAAAGGCTTGGATAATAGACAAGAGCTTTATCCACGGAAACAAGATGAAGATTTTGCTGCGCTAGAACAGGTTTTTGGTGTTTTTCCCCCTCTTTTTTGTATTGCTGAACATTACTTCACTATACATTCATTATGCGGGCACTCATTTTCATTCTATTTTGTCTTTTTGGGTTATGCTGCAGTAGCTTTTCTAAGTAATCATTTTCTAATTAAAACTGGGTAGATAAAGGGAGATCAAATTGTAAGGCTTAACCTTTGATCTATTTTAGAGTTTTTGTTTGAATCATCTAAAGGGCATTTTGGGTTAGGTTTTGGGCTTCCCCCTACCACCCCCAAAGAAAAAAATGGAGTCTATGTTTTCTTTTGTGACTGATACATGTATACCTTTGTTGTGGTCCGTTTTTTAGAGGTACATGCTAGTTGAAGAACAATTTTTGGAGATGGATAAATTGATATACTAGTTCATATACCAAAATTAGATGTAAGTGTACACAGGCAGTGAATTGCATAAGATGATTTATACTGCTGTGGCACATGTGCTAATTGTGATTTACCAATTGTTAAAAGATATCCATGATGAAAATAGCCATGGAAGTTGCATTGACATGTAACTGTAGTATGGATTAAAGTGGAATGGCCTCAGGCTTTTCTGGTAACACTCTAACATTATTTTCTTTTCTGTTTTCACTATCTTCTTGATTTTCAGCATATTGAAGATTTAACACAAGAGAAATTTTCTTTGCAACGTGCGCTTGATGCTTCACGAGCTTTGGCAGAGTCCTTGGCTGCTGAAAATTCGGCTCTTACAGATAACTATAATCAACAGGTTATTTCTTGTCAAACTTGTGGGTTTTGACTTTTGTGTCTATTTGTAGAAATTGTTCTTTCAAGTACATGCTACTTTTCTTTAAAAATAGTGTGTTTGCTTACATGACTATAAGTATGTTTCTTAGATTTCTTTGGTCAATGTCTCTTAGTCAACTATATGTTCTGATTAAGCTTGTACAGCCTGGATAAGAATAAGTTACTGACTGTTTTTCTTGCTTGCATTTTATTCATGGTTTACTTATGATGCTTGTACGGACTCTTTCATGTGTATGCTTTACTTATCTTTAAAGGAGGTATTGTGCCTCTGTTACTTTACATCTCTTTGCATATTGTATCCTCAAAATTTTTACTTGGAAGATCTCTAGAAAAATTTGATTGTTATTAGTCTCTCTTTATTATCAGTAAGGTCTTGGAGTCTTTGTTACAATGCCTGCACAGGAGGCAGCCCAGCATAGCTTCTAATTTGGCTGTTAATTTAGCCTTCTGGAGAATTGATAGTGAGAATGACAGGAAAAACAGAAAAAATCTCCTTTGGCTCTTGAAGGGACAAAGGTGGTTCAGTCTTTGTTGTTATTAGATACTGGATTGGTGTTGTGTTAGGGGGTATAGTTTTGGTTGTGCTACTATTTTGGTGGTGTCCACCGCAATACTTAGAATAATTTTTCTGGCTGATGATGTGGTTCAATGTCTATGTATAGCAGCCTTATAGTTTTGATATAAGGTAGATCATTTTGGGGTGTTTTTTGTCCTCATTTTTATCTTCAAGTTGGTTGGATGCTGACAAATGCAACTGTTATACATCATAAGGAATGTTAAGTGCAGTTGTGATTGACTATTTTCTAGTGTATTGATGTTGGGAGTATCTGTAAATGGACTTTGTAAAATTCCATTCACGGTGCTGTGGGTTTTCTTTGTTTGTATTTTTTTTTTTAAATTTCAATTTATATGTTATTAACTTTTATTATTCCCACTGGCCATTTTCATTTTATTGTATCCATTTTGAACTTTTGCTGTCACCTGTGCTTTTGGCTTATAAGACTTGTTCTTTCTGTCCAGGGAAGTGCTGTGAACCAACTAAAATCTGACATGGAGAAGTTACAAGAGGAAATTAGAGCGAATCTGGTTAGCATTTATAGTTTAATGGCCTTGCCTCTACTGAGTTATTCTATGCTACTGAATACTAGGGTTTCTTTTTCAATTATATCAGAAATTACTCTGCTTCATAAACAGCATCATGACCATACAGCTTCAGAGTCTCACACTTTCTGGGGCCATTTGCATTGCATCTTTTATTGTTAGATTTTGTAACAATATGAGGATAAACCGATGGAGTTATTGATCAGCTGCTCACATGCTGTTGTCCAAAAACTTGACCATAAACATGGTTACCGTGATGTAAAATTCAACTAAGATTTTCTTACAAGCAATTTTGATGCTAGATTTATACTTTTATTGCATTTTCCCCTACAATTGGTGTGGCTGAATGTTAAAAGATGGGACTAAGCTTTAATGAAGTTGGGTTTTGGCTAGTTCATGACCAGTTCTTGCAGTATTTGATTCTTTCATTTTTGAGAGTGTATATTTCTCTAAATTTTTAAGCTTAATTCAATGTTTGGGTAGATATTCAGCTTTTGAACAATATTAAGGAAATTTAGCAATGTGCAAAAGTAAATTGGAATAAAGTTCTCCTCATAATCTTTTGGCATCATTTAAGTCATCAAGAATAACCGTGTCTTCCTTTGGACATAAAGGTCGGCATGGAAATGTTAGCAAGTAATCTGTTCAGTGGTGGGTTTCTCTGAAAGTTCTTGAGATGTAATTATCAGCTTAGGTAGATTCTGGCAATTAACAGGAGCAGAGTGACAATGAAGCTGATACTAAAGGTGTTTTTTTCATCAATGTGGTTTGGTATTTACTCCATGCTCATTATATGCATAAAATTAACTTCTCTGATATGGCTATTTTTTGATTGCTGACACAACCCTAGGGCATTTGATGCAGATTTTGTTATTAATTAGACACAACCTCAATTCGAGGGCTTACATGATTTGCTTTACTCGGATGTCTGATATGTGTGGCAATAACTCAAACCTTGAGCCAAGGTCAACATTACCAGCCACCTTCACTGAAACTTGTGTAACCTCTAGGGGAATAACATCTATTGACATAGTTGACTGGCCATAATTCCATGCATCAGCAGTTTATGAATGGAACTGCTCTTTTTTGATTTAGGGTCCAAAACAGGTTTGATAACTAGGTTTGAATAATTTTTGTTTACCATTTTTTTTGCTTTCAACCTAGGGATTCGAACCATCTGTTCTGTCATCATTGTATGATGGATAATATGATATCAACTTGTTGTACATTCTTTCTTCAGGTGTATAATTTTTATATCTGAAAATAATTTCTCTTTGTAGGTGGAGCTGGAAGCTGTGAGAATAGAATATGCGAACGCGCAATTGGAATGTAATGCAGCAGATGAGCGTGCCAGGTTATTGGCATCTGAAGTTATAGGGTTGGAAGAGAAGGTAATTTTTTATTTATCTTATGGCAATAATTTGCCAGGTTACATATATGCTTAGGTCCTTTTGATGATAGGAAAGCGCGGCAGTGGTAAAATATAGACTAGGTACTCAGTATAAAGTAATCTCTCTACCAGTGTAATAATTTGAACAGGTGATTGCTGCACAGGGCTAATTTTACTTTTTCATTGGCTGTTTGATTTTATTATATACAAATACATGTGTGCTGTTATCTTGATACTCAATATTTTGATATAAAAAAAGGAAATTAGGTGTCTCTTATGATCTGTGTAATGGGTGTTGTAGTTTTGAAGAGGATGTAACAAAAGGTGAATCACTTTTGATTAGACGCTTTTATCCATTTCCCTAATTTTTGAACTTCTTTTTCAGTCTTTGGAATGCTGTCTTCAATAGATGCTGAGAATGATTAATAGGACTCAAATTTGTCGTCGTCGTTTTTTTTTTTTTTATTTAAATCAAGTTAGAAGATATCATGCTCATGGCTCTGGGAAATTTTAATGGTCATTTAAGGCAATCTTTGTAAATTACTTCTGCAGTAGACTGACATTATTGGAGGTATTATGCAAATAAATACACACCTGATTATCTGATAAAGATTTCTGATGTGGTAACCTCTAATTCTACCCTAATTTGAGAGAATTATGCTAGCATTATATCTTAAGTCGGAAGAGAGTATTTGACTTCAGGTTTGGTGTTGGAATTGCACCTCTTCTTACCAGTGACTTCTTTGTTTTAGATGGACCTTTGGATATTTACTCAAATATGTAGATTCACTTTCCTTGTAAATGGATGATAAATGCGAGTGAAGTGTCTGTTTCTTTCAGAAGTCTGGAAAAAGAAAAAATTCTGTACTTTTTGGAGAATATCCTGATAGTGTCCTTGTTTTATCTTGTTGAGAATAGCCTGCAGTGCGAAGATGATTTTTATTTTGTCTAGAGTGCTGTCTAACATCAAGGGTTTTGAATTTGTTACTCTGTATATGTTTGTATGGCCTGGTGAACAACTTCTTGTGATATTGTGAACCTTTTGGTGATATAAATTTGCTTATTCATTTGTCTAGGCTCTTCGATTGAGGTCTAATGAGCTAAAACTGGAGAGACAGCTGGAGGAGTCACAAGCTGAAATTTCTTCTTTCAAGTATGAATTTCACATTTGGGTGTTGATAACTTCTTTCTCTCACATTTTGGGTGTCTTTTTTTTTGTTGGGGGGGGGGGGGGGGTTATATTACCTGGTTCTGATCCGCAAATGTATAAACGATTTATTGACAAATTTAATGTTAAAATATTTGCTATATCTTCTGAAAAAAAGATGATAGTTACTTTATGATAGTTTTCTTTCAGAATAACACAAGGGGTTTGACTGGGTTAGTTTTTGGCCAACAATGAGGAGAATGTTCAATATTGTTTTCCCATGCTCCTGATATTTCTCACCTGTATCTGAAACTAAAAGACTTGCATATCTAGGATCTATTGATGTTTTATGATTTTGGTAGGTAGGATTAGTTTGGATAAAGTATAAAATTTTTGTGTTTTTCAGCCTCTTATGGATTCTGGCGCTTTTTAATTTCCCATATTGGCTCTGGGTGTTGCAATTTACCATCTGCTTGACTCTTAGAGATTTATGCAAAGGTCATAACAGCATAGATTTGTGATTTTTAAGGCTGCTGCCTTTTTTTCTTATTTTTTAAAATTTCTTTATGTCTGGTAGTTTATGTGTAAAATGTCTTTCTTCCACATAATTGGGCCTGGCATTTATGTTACATGGGCTGCTTGGTCAATGTGAATTGACGCCTTTAACTTACATGAATTGATCTTTCTTGGCATTTTTTCTGCATTAATATCAGTTATTTTTTAAAAAAGTTTCCTTATTGGATTATGCAGGAAGAAAATGTCAAGCCTTGAGAAGGACCGTCAGGATCTGCAATCAACGATTGCTGCATTACAAGAAGGTAAGGCATAACCTTCTATGGTATATGTCCTGATCATTGCATCCACATTAATTTTTCCTTCTCGTGAAATTACTCTGTAGTGCCTTGTAAAACTTGCAGAATTTCACAAATAAATGGTGTAGATGCCTATGAGTTCTGCTGGACAACACCTAGAATTGCTGCAAACAAGATGATTTATTAAAAATTTTCTTCTACTTACAGAGCTTGTTAAATATCACTCTGTTTTTATGTGACTAGCTAGACATAAAACTTTCTAGTAGTGGTTGCTCTTCTGCCCGAGCATTGTCTGAAGAAAAAGTCCAAGAATCTTTTTAAAGGTAATACTGGGAAAGATGTTGAACCTGGCATGTTCTGGACTTTTATTTGTGTAGTTGTGAAACAGTTTTCTGATTTAATAATTTGAAGGCTAGGTGGTTGTGTAGCACATGAATCAATTTATGACTTTGTAAATTACTTGTAGCACATGATTTGCTCATTCAACACTAAGTTTAATTTTTGTAAGCTGAGATTTGCTTGAGTTTGTTTGGTCCGCCATTCCTACTTTTTTGGACAGTTATATTACACACACTTTCTTTTCTCGGTTATGACAAAATCTATATAGACGGGTCTTTTGCAGGAACACCTTAGTAAATTGAATTCACCAGTTCATAAATTTGCATTTGCCTGGCAATATTTTGTCCATGTTTTTCTTCTTTCTATGTGCCAATTTTTTTGTGTCATTTGTTGGTTGGGCAAGATTATAGCATTGAGATTGCTTTCAATGACTAGGCAATGATCAGCATCTCATAAACCATGCAGTGAAAAGAAATTTTACTTTGATGGAAATTCTTGCTAGGATTGCTTGAACTCATAGTAGTTCTGTTTGTATGAAGGTTAAATGATCATATACTCTGCAGAATGTGCTGTATGTGATACTGTAAAGAATTTACGGTATTTTTTTTCTTTTCTTTCTTCTCTTCTTCTTCTTCTTCTTCTTCTTCTTCTTTCCCCTCCCTCTTCCCTCCCACCACCTCTGCCTCGTTGAAGAACCAGCAGCCTTGTTCAAAATTTTTTTCTTTTTCTCTTCCCCTCTTCTCCCTCTCTGCTCCCCTCTCCCCTCTACTCCCCTTCACCCTCCCCCTCTTTCTCTCACTGGGGTAGAACCAGTAGCCATGGCTAGCAGCATTTTTTTTTTTTTGCTTTTTCTCCCTCTTCTCCATCTCCCTCTCCCCTGTCCTCCCCTTCCCCCTCCCCCTTTGCCCAATCCGGTCGCGTGTGACCAGATCGCAGATGCGGTCTGGTACGTCGACTAGCCGCGATCTGGTCGCGCGACCAGATTGCTGGGGAAGGGGGAGGGTGGCCAGGGAGGGGAGAGAGGGAAGGGGAGAGGGAGAGGGAGAAAGGAAGGAAAAAAAAAAAAGAGGAAGGCGCGGCGGCGGTGGTGGCGGCCAACGGTGGAGGTGGTGGCCGGCGATGAAGGTGTGGTGGATCGGGGTAGGGGAGAAAGAAGAAGAAAAAAAGGAAGTTTTTTGTGTATTACATATTTTAAAGTGTATAAGTTAAAAAATTTGATAAGTTTTTTGGGGTTCCTGTAATTAAAGTTGTTAAAAAACTAGTAACTAAAAATCTTGGCCAAAAACTCGAGTTTCAAACAAGCCCACAGTAAAAAACTGAGCAATAGGCCACCGGGTTAATAGGTCAAAAAGAGTACTCGCTGTTTAATAAAATAAAGTGCACCTTGGGATATCAAGAGCACTTGAGCTGTAATTGAGCGGTTCTTTTTGACAAACTCCAAAGACTTCAACAGATGAAATATATCAATAACACTCCGTGTGGGCATTATCAAGAATGAACAAAACAAAACAGATCACAGTTCCGAGTGAATTTTTTGGTTCAATAGAAATCTTGATATGGGTAAATGTTTTATATTTTTTTGCAAAAAAATTTACTATACTTTACTTTGTTCTGTTAACTATTATACTTCAAATAAAGCAGCAAATACAAAGTAGCCGTAATATATTGTATTTTTGCCAGATTCTTTTTTAAGGATGATGTTGTATGCGTGTAGGAATGGCCAGGCAGAAGAAAACACCTTTAAGAGCTCAGCTGGCTAATGTCCTGGAGCTCCACCGTAAGCGTGATTGACTTGAAGCTTCGCTGCATTGTACATCTGCGAAATGCCAAATCAAAATGGAGAAAGGATCGATGCTGGAATCCTTGTATGCAAACAGCTTGTTTGTTTTTCAATGTATTTTTCAAAATTTTTTTAAAAAAATTGAAATACATTTTCTGGTCATCTTTTTTTATCTCACAAGAACATATACCAATTAAGATATTAAGTAAAAAAATTTTTACAAATACGTTAAAGAATCATCCCCATCAGCAGAACTCTCTTCATTTTGATACATCTTTTTCTGTGCATTATTCCATTTTTCTTAGAGGAAGCGAGTGACAGAGTCAGGATTTTTTTGTTGGGGCTAATTTACTATGGATCATCCAATTATATATTTAATTTTTTAAAAGTGAAATAATTGGCACAATGAAAAATAAATAACTTTTTTTGAAGAAAAAATTAATTCAAAATGTGTCTAATTCATATATATATACATATATATAAACTCTCATAATATAAACTAAAATTATGAAATAAATAAAGGGAATCAATTTTGTTTAACACATATATTAACACATTATGAATTAAAATTTTCAAAACCGCTTAGCCCTCCCTTGGCTTCGTCATTGGATAAAGCAGAAATATATAAATATATATATATATAGCGGAAATATAAATATATATATAGATAGGGTAGCAATAAAATTAAATGTTGAGTATTGGAAACCCTCTCAACATCACGAAGCTTATATTATGAGGAAACGCGCAAAAGACACAAAATCAGCGATATTTGTTCCGGGCAATTTGTTAGGCAAGCAAATAGTGGAAATACCTCGTATCGACTTTTATAATCATAGCAGTCAAAATCGCACCATATACTGTATTTCTTGCAGATGCACCTATTATGCTGTACGTTATTTGAAGAAAAGTCTTGATACTTGGATATCTATAAAAATGTCTTTGTATATTCATCTAATATGCTGTAAATTATTTTTATGCAAAGTCTTGTGAAATAATCCATAACTTTCAAAAGTTTGGAAACCATTAAGTATATGCATTTTTTCTCCATCGTCAAGCCATCTTAATACCATCTCTCAACATTTGAGAAATGGGAAAGAAACATGGACGAAGGTAAATGGAAGTCTTGCACTGAAACAGAGAAAAATAGTTCAAATATTACTGCGTTAGTTAATGGTAGCAAAAGAAAATGAATGTTGACTAAATTGCATTGGAAGCCCTTTCAACATCACGAGAGTTTATTGGAGTACTTTTTTCAATACTTTTTCTGGTGTAGTCATAGTGAAAAGTATGAAACGTTCCTTTACGAATGGGTTTCGGATTTGGATCCTTGAGAAATCAATTGAATAACAGGTCGCCTTGGAGTCGGTTATTACTAGGGTTGCAAACGAGTCGAGTCGAGTCGAATTTTGACCTTATCAGGTCGAGCGTTGACTTAATTTCATCGAACTGGAACTCAAACTCGAGCGACAAGCTGGCAATTTTGAACCTCGAGCTCGAAAAAAATAAAAATAATTATTTTATTTTTTTAAAAAATAAACAAAATAATATTTTTTCTTAAAAAATAATAAAGTATTAAGGATATTTATGCAATTTTACTATTAAAATAAAAATAAAAATAATATATATATATATATATATATATATATATATATATATATATACTCTCGACCTCGCGAGCCGGCTCGCAAGCTAACGAGCTTATTATTTTGAATTCGAATTCGAACTCGATTTTGACTCGACCAACTCGAATCACTCACGAGCGACTCGATTCGTTTACACCCCTAGTCATTACACATCGAGTCCTCAGCCATAAGAGCTTCTTCTTCCTTTTCCTTTCATTGGAGAAATACTACTAATTTTATTGGAAAAATAATAGGTAGATCTTCTCAATGATTAAATTAGAAAATTTACGTTGTCAAAATAAAAATTGCGTGAATAATTTTAGGGTGTAAAAGATGGCCAAGTTTTTTTCCGCTGTGAAAATATGATAAGATTTGATCAAACATGATAAGATTTGATCAAACCGACACGATGAAGGCATGGCCAATGAGTGAATATAGTGCATTAATCTTAGTTTATGTCATACAATCATTTCTATATAATTTAACAACACGTGACAGATGGAAACCAACACGGGAACACGAAAAGACACAAAGACGCTTTTTAAAAGTTTCCACTAACTTGCATGATCACCCACCACAATAGACGAAAGTGGGTCCATTTCTTTTTTTCTTCCACAAATGTCAAAGAAAACACACACACACCACTCACTTAAACGATGCAGGCATCGATAAAATCAGCCCAAAGGACAATCCACAGATAAACCCTATCCAGTCAATTGATGATATGAAGGGCTCCTCATGAACCTTAAACCCAGAATAACTACCTTACGATCTTTCGATGTGCGATGGTGCACCCAACCCCCTCCCGTGCAATCCTCGCTAGAAGTCTAGTTTTTTTCTTCTACAAATGTCAAAGAAAACACACACACACACATCACTCACTTAAACGACGCAGAAGGCATCGATAAAATCAACTCAAAGGACAATTTAAGATAGACCCACAGAGAAACCCTATCCAGCCAATTGGTGACAGTAGGTCCATTTCAATGCGATAATTTTTGGAAGTAGGTCCATTTCAAGATTTTATAATATGACATCGACATCAATTATGCATCAAAAAACACAAAATGTTGTCGTCATTTCACACTTTTAATCTCTTATTTTTGCATCACCAATGAGCTGGGCCATGCATGCAAATACAGTAAATCCACTTGAATAAATAAGCCTGTTTATGGATATTCCTGATCATGCAAATTCATTCCTGCACATCCACTTTGATGGTAATAAGATTAAGACCATGTGAACAAAGGCAATCATCTTTTTTTTTTTTGAGAGATCAAATATTCCTGCATCCACACACTTACACACATACGTTATGTTCTATTCCTCTCAAGTAGGTCCATTCCGGTAAAGCATCTCTGGATTATATATCCTGTTATCTTTAGACTTGACCAAGATTCTATAGTACGACATTGACGGCCATAACTATACATCATTATGATTATCATTACTCATTAATCACTCCCCTTACGTCACCTTTGTTACGTAATTCGATATGTGGTGGCATGGTCCAGCCTAGGAATTTTTCGTCTACTGTGGTGGCCGGTGGGTGATCATGCAAGTTCTAACCTAACGTGTTACATTTTTTGATATAATGGTCTTGAGAAATCACCCAAAACTTTCCACACTTTTGGAAAACCACGGATTGCATCAACCCATTCTCCGTCATAAACCTTTCTTGATATCATCTCGCACGACTTCTATTTCCTTCCACAAATTCCATCCTCTCATCTTGTCTACATGGGTAAGTTCTTGATTCACAGGATGGTGATTCTTTCATATATTTATGCTTCCTTTATCAGCTTATTTTGCATAACTAGCTAAAAGGTGAATATTTTCTTCAGCACAACAAGTTGAGGGCAACCATCCAACTCTGCTCATAGATGGAGATGGAAATTTCAACTCAAAATTTGTAGATGATCTGAAACTGGCTGCCGTGAGCCGTCCCGTTGCTGTTGTCTCCGTCTTTGGCGTGCAAAGTACCGGTAATACGTATTTTAGTTGGGTGCATCTCAAGTTGCTATTTACAAATTTCCATCCAAGTCAAAATCTGTGATTTGGGACCAATTACCAGCAAGTTTTGATTTATGCAGGAAAGAGCACACTTATGAATTCTCTGCACTCCACTAAATTCAAAGTGATGGATGCCAGCCAGGGAAT